GTTAAAAATGTAACAAAATTAGAGAAAGATTAACCAAACTATTTCAAAATTGATGATGAGACATCATGATGACGTCCTAAAGGAGAATGTGCGACGTCACTGGGCAAAATCAGTAACAAATCCTTAAAATCACTTAAAAAGCATGAAATAAAAAGAAAACTTAACCTGAAAAAAATTAGGATTTTTTAGGAATTTAAGGGATGCTGGCATCTGTTATATTATGAGCCTGAGCGGGCAATGTGACCAGCCTGTTCAAACAATAAGCTGGGGACTTTTTAAATTTCTGTTTGTAACTGATCATACGTCTGAATTATTTCATAGTTATTTACTCCTAAAAAAAATTATTAACTTAATAATCAATATACTAATAGGTTTTTAATAAGGGGCCGAAATGACCCCTGAGTTGGTAGAGGGCCGGCTTTACCAAGAAAATGTTACTCGTAAATCCTTCATGTGAAATGGTAGGACTAATAATAATGTCTACGTCCCTATGAGGGGTTTTACATTAATGGAAGACAGATAATATCTGTGGAAACTAGAAATGTGTCCATAGGACACGGGTGCCCCCACACCCCACTGTTTTGTCAATCTTATGACTTTAGGTCAATTATTTTTTAGGCTACATGTGCCACAAGTTGAAAACTAAAAATCCTTTACTAAGTCAAAGGCAAGAACTTTGCAAATACTGAATAAATCCACAAGGAAACTCCAAGGTGCAGAAGTACATGGCTGACCAACATTTCTGTAAACTTTTATACCTACAGGTCAAATACGTTATGCAAGAACAAGTTGAAAATTGCAAATTTATACTAAGTCAAGGGCAATGACTCTAACAAACTGAAAAAACAAATACATGCAAAACCCCAGGTGCATAGCTTCACAGTGATACTGATTATTATTCCTGTAAAGTTGGTCGAGTCTAACTCGAGGAACAAATAACACAACATAATGGAACGGTTTTCACTAAGTCAAGGGCAATAAATCTGACAAAACAGAACAAATCAACAAGTGAAACCCCTGGTGCACAACTTCACATGTTGAGCAACATTCCTGTAAAGTTTCATGACACTAGATCAAATACTTTTGAGTTTCTTGCAACACAAATTGAAAATCTTAAATTTTTACGAAGACAAGGGCAATAACTAAAAAAAAATACTAAACATATCCACATGAAAATACCCAGGTACACAACTGCACATGCTGATCAACATTCCTGTTAAGTTTCATGACTCTAGGTCAAATACTTTTTGAGCTACTCGTGAAACAAGTTGAAAATTGCAAATAAATATTTACTAAGTCAAGGGCAATAACTCTAAAAAAACAAAATAAATTCACAAGCTAAACCCCAGGTGCACAACTGCACATGCTGATCAACATATTCCTGTAAAGTTTCATGACACTAGGTCAAATACTTGTTGAGTTATGTGCGACACAAGTTGAAAATTGTAAAATTTTACTAAGTCAAGGGCAATTACTCTAAGAAAACAAAATAAGTTCACAAGCGAAACACCAGGTGCACATGATGATCAACATTCCTGTAAAGTTTCATGACACTAGGTCAAATACTTGTTGAGTTACGTGCAACACAAGTTGAAAATTGTAAATTTTTACTAAGTCAGGGGCGATAACTCTTAAAATACTAAATTTATCCAGACAAAAATAGCCAGGTACACAACTACACATGCTGATCCACATTTCTATAGTTTCATGACTACGTCAAATACTTTTGGAGCTACGTGCGACACTGAAGAGAACGAACGGACGGACGGACAAGGGTAAATCTAAATCCCCGCCCCCAAAGTGGGCGCACAAAAAAACTTACTAAAAAAATCCTTCTGCAATACAAACTTTTGAACGCGCCATTTTGGTTTTGCACGAGAAATCAACACACATAAACAATGTTTCCCGATTTCCTTTTAGAATCATCCCGTGCAATAGGATTTCTGCTCGCTATTCTCAAATTTGTCATTTCAATCTTTTTTTCTGTTTCAAAAATTTCATGAGAACTGAATACTTACTAAAGACTGAGCCGCTTCAATTTTGGCGGCCTGCCTTGGAATATAAGGTGTAAGAACGCTATTTATTTTTTTGGAAAAAAATTACGGGCGCCGAAGTGCCAAGTGTGCGAGTGTTTTCATATATTTTTTACTATTCTTTAATATCATAGATCACAATCATAAAAATAACAAAACAAAAGATCAAATATTTCAATCTTTTTTTCTGTTTCAAAAATTTCATGACAATTTTGGCGGCCTGCCTTGAATGTAAGGTGTAAGAACGCTAATTTTTTTGGGGAAAAAATTACGGGCGCCGAAATGCCAAGTGTGCGAGTGTTTTTATATATTTTTTATTATTCTTTGATATCATAGATCACAATCATAAAAATAACAATAAACAAAAGATCAAATATTGATTTAACGATGAAATAACAATTTAATGTTTGTACATGTAACTTCCATTAAAACTGGGATGTATAAAAAAAGTATGTCCCAGATTAAAATAAGAATAAAAATGAATCCCTAAAGAAAGCCCAAATAATTAAATATTCCAAACCATATTTCACTAGATATAATTGACAACTTAGAATCAACGTTATGCACATCTAGACAAATTTTAGAATTATTATATTGTGACATTTTTCAAAGTAATATACCTGAGCGGTTCTTTTGACATTAGAATTGTTTCATAATAATGATAAAAGCAGACGCTTAATTAATGGTTACTTATCAAGGGAGATGAAATGTTAACTGTTACATTAAGGATGGAAATCTTATGATAACTTGCTAGGGGTTCTTATAATAACTGTTCCAGAGTTCTTTGAAAAAGTTACGGATTTCGTCGGTTCAAAAGATATTTTTTTCTTACCTTCGTTTCTTGTGCTTTTTTTGTTGTTTTTTTTTTCATTTAATACAATTTTTTGCTTACGCAGATTTTGTACATCGAAAAATAGACTTGATGAAGAGCACTGACTTTTCAATAAAGTTTCGTGAAAATAACCATTTTATTATTGTTTCTCTGGACAGTTTACAATAAAGTGTTCCGAAAAAATCCGTATCGTTTTCCAGGACCTCCGTCGCAGTAATCATAAGAACTCCTCACAAGTTATCATAAGAACTCCGTCCTTCGTGTAAAAAATCCTCTCCGTGTATTAATTATTTACTTGTGTTAACGTATTAGATGTATAAATGAAACCTTTTCAAAAGGTGTTTAAAACATTATATTATTAAACTCTACTATATTCTAGACATAAATACAGAACTTACAAAAGTTTACCATCTTGTTTGAAAAATACTGACAAATAAATTTCAACTTTTGAATCGGCTTTAAACAACAATAACAACAATTATGTTTTCATTATCTGTAGAAAAGTTTCACTTATTTAATATGTTCCATACTTGAGAGAAATGATTATAATGAACTATTTTGCATATCAATGCATTTTGGGGTCAATTTCTTGATTTTGATCCCAAAGTGAGTTTGACTCCAAAGTGCGCTGTGAAGTTTATCGCACTTTGGGGTCGGACCCTTAAGTGCGTTTGACCCCAAAGTGCGCTGTTACAAAGCATCACACATGTGTTAGAAATTGTGACAATCAGTGATTTGACATTACTTTACTTTGTCTTATCATAAATTTGGTATCCTAACATATATAGCGGGGACATCTGTGTCTTTCAGACACATTGCTATTTGTACTTTGTAATTTGTCATGTTTTTTGTCTACAGCTTATAAAGTCAACACGATTTATCAAGAGTTAGATATCACTTTTAAGACTCCGATAATTGTTTTGTTCAATCTTTAATTAATTGATACATGAGGATGTTTATCCCACAATCAATATAATGAAGTAAATCAGAGTTTATGTTGTTAACAGTATGATTTTTCCTGGTCTAATGACATTGACTGATGATTCAGTGAATTTGATAATATGAGCATAAAGATGTTTTCATGGTATATTTAATCTTAAGACTGTAATTGTAATAATACTTTAAATGAATTAATAAATAAGAAAAAAAAATGTTAAAAAATATGTTAATGTTATTATGTCTAAAATGGATGACCTTTTGCTTGACTGGTTTGCTTTTATATCATTATAACACTCTGATATACATAGCAACTCTCTAAATAAAAAATAAAAAGAATGAATTATTAAACTTTCTAAACAAACGGTTTAAGGTATTTTGAATATATACATGTGATTCAATTTCCTCAAAATTTAGATTTAAATCCAATTAAGTTAAATTATTCTTCTGGATCCAAGTATTACTTAATCATAATATCTTTTTAAAATTTGAATTAAAGCATGATAATCTTCTGGATCAAAATATTTTATTTAAAGTTTAATTAATTCTTTCTCATCAAAAATTTGATTTTAAATTCAAGAAATGTTAAATTTACTTTGTACAAAAAGTAAGCGTCTCTGAATCAGAATTTTTTATATTAGTACAAAAGGGAATAATTATATATCTAAAAGTCAACTAAATTTAAATTAATAATTTTATAAATGAATATTAATAATCAAAATCAAATGCTTATCAGTAACAATAAAAGTTGAGACAGGTTTCAAAGTTGTATTCAATAATCAGTGACCAATGACGGACATTCATCTACAAAAAAGATATTTTTGCTGGAAAAAAATCCTGTACAAAAATAAAAAGGCAATTCTTATTGGGTATTGTGAGTATTAGTATTATCTTTTATGGCAAAAAAAATATTTCTCAAATAAACAAGTCGAAATATATATGCATGAGTTCTTTTAATGACAGTTTAAAATACTCTTTTAAGCATACATAATTATAATCTCTCAATAATGGGCATACCCCACGCAAAGCATTTATGTTTTAACTTTGTATCTGGAATTAACCTTTTATACATTGATACTGTAAGATTAATTTAACCTTTTGATTTTTTCATTGACTCCACACTGAATAGTTATTTTCGTAAAGCTGTTTTGTGTCTTTCTTTGTGGAGTTTCGAATTCGTTGTGTTACTTATACCGTTTCACGACATTCGGAAAACGTCGTGCGTTGTTGAAAGAAAAGTTTGCGTTTGTTCTGAATTTTAATTTGGTCTTAATGTGTCGTTATTTAGATTGATATAAATATGGCAATAATTTAGTTCAATGCAAAAGTAAATCATGTCTGACAAAATTGACACGAAAGTGTTGCAGGTGTCGAATATCGCACCAAATGCAACAAGGGATCAGATGAAAACTCTATTCAGTTACTTGGGCAGAATAGATGAAATCAAAATGTACCCAGCAGAGTATGTACAGGACTTGTTTTCTAAATATGATATATGTCAAGACCTTATTTTCGTTTACTTCTCTTTATTACATGCTTTTCGATGGTTTACAGAAATATATCGGGGTGTGGGGAAAATCCAAGGATCCGGGACGCCCGGGATCGTATTCGAAAACTGATAAACTATATTTGTGTTGATGATTGTCGTAATGAAAGGCGATTAAACATTAAGTTTTTATTTTTTATTGTATGTAATGAACGTTAAATTAATTCAACTTAGGATATAAATATATTTAGAGCTATTTATTAACAAACTTAAAATGCGGAAATCACAATACTTATAGTTATATGCCTAATTAATTGGAAAAATTAAAGACTATATTCTTGAATTGGTCAAATCACGGGATCCTGATATGTTTTAATACGATCCCAGCTTTTCTGAAAACTATATTCTTGAACCGGCCAATTCCTGGGATCTCTATATTTTTTAATACGATCCCGGCTTTTCTGAAAACTATATTCTTGAATTGGTCAATTCCCGCTCCATGTTTTAGAGGGTTTAGCGATGACTATTCTGAACTCATCTCTGGTCCATTGGTTTATCCCGGACCAGGTTTTGTTAAAACTGGAGGAAGGAGGCTAGTACTGGATCCCAATGTTAAACGATGGTTCGGAAACTACCCGCACTATTCATAGACTGAATGTTGGAAAAGGCCTAAAATTTTAAACAAACAAAAACGAAAAATATCTCTTATTAAAGATAATTTCGGATCCTAAATAAATTTTAGATTACGATCCCTAAAATCGTGAAAAAATACGTTATTTTTAAAGATTTTTTATAACTTCTACAAATCAAACTTGTTCAGAAATCTCTACAAATTTGATAATTTCACTGTTTTGAATTTAAGCCCCTTTACGTTGTTTCAGTGAAAAACCTGCGTGCACAGTACTGGAAACCAACCTAACGATGTGACGTCGTAAATGACCTCGCGTAAAAAAAACTTGTCATTTGGCTTGCTTTTCATTTAGCATGTTTAGTATTAGGTTAAATGTCTTTTAAAAGTTTCTATACATATGATAAAAAGAAAATTTGTTTAGGCCATCCTTAAAAAAATGTTTGCAGTAACCCGACTCAGAATTTTCAAGGTGGGTAGGTAGGTCGATTTTTTTTTTTTTTTATTGAACTGTACTCCCAAATATACATGGAATTTCAAAATGCTGGACAATATATGCTTTGATAATCTGGTAACAATTAATAAATTGATAACTGTATTCTAATTTAATAAGACCTACATTTCATTTCTTCCAGTAACCTTTAAAAGAACGAAAACAAAGCACAAGACATAATTTTCTGATTCAAAAGAAAAAATTTTTTATCCAGACCATGAAAAAAATTTTTGAGTAGGGGCAAATTTTGTGAGTCGGTCGCGTTACTGCAAACAAACATTTTTTTAAGGCTGGCCTTAGTTTAGTGTAAGATCGAAATATATTTCACCTTGCGCCACTCGTGAAATATACCTTTTGGTGCTCACTTGGTGAAATATATTCTCAGTGTTTTTTTCCTCTACCACGGGAATGGTGCCGGTACCAGATTGATTGGGAAAAAATGCGTTATTTTGACTTAAATTGGGAATTGGAAATTTTTTTATGCATTTTTTCAGCTACAAATAAGATTAGTCATCATGAATAAAGATAGCTAACAAGTAACAGCCTCCACTGTCCATGTAGAACTATTGTGTGGTGATTTATATGAATATGTTGGATTTAAATGATTTCAGAGAAATCACTTGGCCTTGTGGAAATTTTGTACAGCCATTTTGGGAATTTAAACATTGGAAATTGGGAATTTTAATGTCTATTTTCTATTGGGAACAGTACCGTTTTAGGGTAGTAGTTATATCAAGAAAAAAAACACTGATTCTGATCTTACACTGAACTAAACAAATATCCTCTATTTAATTATGGTTATACCTGATAAGCCCAAACCTATTTAGTCTTTTTTCCCCCCTTCCCCCAGAACATTGGTTTTTTCGACACCTTACATTCATGAACGAAAAAATTATTGATAGTAAACTATTTTTTTTGAAGGGGTTCCTTTAAAATACAAAACCATTTTTCCATCGTTTAACAAATTTATAAAATTTTGAACCGTATTTCCAAAAACCATTTTTAATTCAACCAATTAAAAAAGAAGGTCTTTCCATTTTTTTTTAAAATTGTATAAAATATACATAGGCTTTCTCCGGGAAATTTGATAACGGGAAAAGGTTATTTGGGTATAAAATTTTTATAGGGTTAGCTATCTCTGAATACTGCCAACTGCTCTTGCTAGTGTTTTAGGCAGAATATTAGTGCACATTGGATGTTAGTAAAAGGTGAAAAAAAGCAAAATAGTCTAAGGCTCCAAGCATTATAAACATACTAGGAAGGTGAGACTGGAAATGTATTTTAGTCATTGTTTAAATGTTAATAGTGAAAGAAGAAGATAAAGGATGAAATAGTGAAAACACTGTGAGCAAGACTAGTACTGCAATACCGGGATACTTTGATGGCAAAGTTGGTAAAGTCGTTGGGATCCGATTCAACTAAAATTTTATCACGAGTTCAAGCCTTACAAGTTGTCTTAACATTTTTCTTTTTTTTCTTCCCTATTTTTTTTTTCAATTTTATGATAGATGCAAATGAATTGGAATATTAAGGTTGTTTTGTTATAATATTTAATAATTCTAATATACCAGGATTAATATTTTTATCCTGTGTTTTATGTTGTATGTAAAAGTCACAGTACATGTGCAGTGCATGAGTATTTCGTGCCATCTAAAGAAAACAGAGAAGTAAATAAAAACATAACACTCGTAATCCTTGCAAGTAAAAAAAAAACATATTCTTCACATAGAATTTTTATGCGAATGGAACCTGTCTTGCATTGATATTCAGCTAGAAATTTTACTGACAGCCTTCAGACTTCCCGAAAGTTGAAAAAACTGTCAGACATTCGGTCTGACAAACCACGAAAATCTGTCGGACCGAAACAAAATCTGTCGGACCAAATAAAATTGATCAAAATCAAAGAAAAACTTGTGTTTGTATTTCTAAGACACTTTTTGTCTTTTATTTTTTTCGCCGTAAAAATCGGCACAGTCTGTACAGCGCATTTTCATCTCCTCCCTGTCATACACCAATGATTCATGGTTCTGCTTCCATTTTTCATTAAATTTTGTCTCAGGTCTATTCTTTTCATCCTTTTTATTGCTGTTCTGCCCCCTTTTCGACGTAATTTTGGGGTTTTTCCCGGTTGGCACCTTTAGCGACGCCTTTTTGTATAAATGGTTTGATAAAAGCCGACAGCAACCGACCCGGGAAAAAAAATTGTGGGACCTGATCAAAATTTATGGACATTTCCGTCGGACCGACGTTTTTGGGGAAGTCTGACCCTTTTACCTACTGCTTTTACGTAACAGTTGGAAAATTGTTGATAATAAAATTTTATATCGAAAAAAAGGAATAAACACAATACGATAACTTTAAAAACCGTAAAGTGGGGCTTTACCCCCCGCTCAAAAATAATTTTCCTAAACTACAGTACATATTTCAAATCAACTCAAAAAAAATGTAACAGCAGTAAAGCCTTTTTTTAAAGGCTTTACACACAGCCTGTCCTTTAATGCACATCATGGGTGCAATTTGACAGCGCTAAAAATAGCTCTACACAACTAAATTCCTAGTACATTTTGGTATTTAAAATTATGATATTGCATACCAGTAAAGATAATATTTTATACATTTAATCAGAAAAGCTACTGCTTATTTTATTCTTTCACAGTAAAGATGCAATTCATTTTTTTGTTTTTTTTTTTATTCTACACAAAATGACCTCCAATACAGTAATTTTTGTAACATAAAAATGATTCATGTAGTCAAATGACACTTGAAAAAAAAATTATTTGACTCGTGAAAATTTTGGCCAAAGAGTCTTTAACTCATGAAATTTTGACCCTACCGAGCCAAAGTCTAATAAAATTCTGCTCAGGCTAGCATTAAATGTAGGGAGCATATTCCAACAGTCTAGCCATGTTTTTTGATCCGGAAGAATACAGGAAAATATTGATTTTTGCAAGATATTGGCACAAAAAATTCTGAAATAATTTATATATAGAATAATTTATCAATGTTGAAAATTTCCCAACCTGAGGGCCCTGGACCAAGTTCTCCTAACGTAATAAGGGCCTTTGATTCCTAATGAATCTTATGATTTCTTTGTTATATTCAACTAGACAAATATAGTAGTTGAGTTTCATGAACATAATAATATTGCATTAGTTTCAATGCTGATTTCTCTTATATGTTATTTATGTAACTAGACAGCAAATGTAATTGATTTTACCTTTTTGCAGAGCATCAGAGCTTCAAGTTACTGCCAAAGTTTGCTATGTAAAATATGATGACAGTACAAGTGTTGGAGTGGCTCTACATCTCACTAACACAGTCTTTATTGACCGTGCTCTTGTTGTTATACCTGTCATGGAAGGTCAGTGTTTTGTCTTACTTAAATATACTGTTGTTTTAATGATAAGTTTTTATACACCTGAAGATATGTCTTATGTTATGATGTTGTCTGGTCAGTACATTGACAATTTGTATTTTGAAAATTGAAGGATTGTATTGTAATACAGTGTTTTTTCCCCCCTTATTTAACTTGTACCAGAAAACAGCACCATTCCCAAAAGAAAATAGACAGCAAATTTCCCAATTCATGACTGATAAATTCCCAAAATAACACTGAAAATTTCCTTAAAAATCTGCAAATTTAAAGTAATGGATGCTTCCATATTGATAAGTGATATACAATGAAAACCAAGTATAACCACACAAGTGATATTCATACTCATTTCAATTCATACTTTTAGTGTTCACACCTAAACATTATTTATGTACAATTGTTAGTATTTTTTTTCAACCAACTTCCCAATGAATATTTTGCATCTTTAATAAAATTCCCAATTTGAGTCAAACCGAAGCATTTTTTCCCAATCTGTCCGGTACCGGCACCATTCCCAAAGCTGGGGAAAAAACATTGTAATACAGTGATTGTATTTATATTTGCCATGCAAATATGATATATCAAAACACAGGTTATAACAACAAACTAGCGGTGAAGCCGAGTAGTTAACACATCTTGTAATCTTCGGATTGCTGGACGCATGGGTTCAAACCTTATCAGGTGCAACCCATTCTTTCCTTGTCAGAGCAAGAAAATCAACGCACACTACTTAGGACTGGTTGGTTTCAGGAATAAATTCATGTGTGTGCCTGCTACACTGGCCAGGAATTTTTAGTTTAATGCTATCTATTGTCACAGTATTTTCAAATGAGTAACAAATATGTAAACAGTTATGCAGCTCATTGTATTATGTATTGATAAAAAATCATAGGGTCCCAGTTTAAAATCTAGTTCATTTTTCATTTGATGCATGAACACATTTTCAAGAATTAAGCTCAATTCTGCTTTTAAAAGAAATATGAAAGGGGGTCATTTTACAGTATAAAGTACAATTTGTGTTGTTTACACTGTGAAAGTGGCTTGAAAAAGTTTCAAGTCTATATGACCTTACTTTGCTTGTTAAAGCAGTTTACATGTTAAAGATCAAGAAAATGCAAGATTTGGAATGCAAAAAGTGTTTTTTGGGTCTAAAAAATATATGTGCAGCAGCATGTGTAAAAAGGGTTCTGTTTTAGAAGTTTTCCCAAAAGGGTATAAATTTTGATCTACACTTTGTTCATAGTGTTAATTATAAAAAAAACATAACAAAATTTATACTGAAATGTGCCCTTGTTTTTGTTGCAGGTGAAATTCCAGATGAGCAATCTGCATTACAGCGTGCACCTTCTGCTGTGGCTGGTATGTTGCCAGGACAACCTACATGGCCCACCAATGTCATGAGTCAGGTATTGCATTATTTAAGAGCGCTTTAAATTTATGTTTTGATGTACATTTCTTTTTAATTCATGATCATGAAATAATGTTATCAACATAGTCAAAACCAGAATTGGTTCCTTGAAATATTCTATACATACCACAAATGTATTGTATTATATTTGACATTCAGATTTGCTTATATTTGAGTAGATAATTATGCTACAGAGGATTTATTGTTATATTATAAAGAAACAGTTAGACAATTGAAATTTCCCATTCAGATAAGTAAGCTCAGTAGTTTTCAACAGGATGCCAGGGACTAAGTAAACATAATAAACCATTTATATGTGAGGTGATAAGGCTTTGTATCTCAATAAGTACATAGTTGAACAACACATACACAGTTTTGTTTGAATAGATTTACCATAAAACAAGACAAAAAAACATTTAAAAAACAGAAAATAAACTATTTTCTGAAAACTGAATAAGGAAAGCTTTTGTATTCACCCAGGCATTATCACCATACTTTGGTTTTTGCATGAAAGTTAATATTTCTAAAACTCCTGAATGGAATGGGTTGAAACTTCACACACATATTTGGAGGTCTTTGTCCAAGGCCTATGACTCTAATATGAACTTTGACAGAATTATGGCCCTTTATGATCATAGAAGTTTCTACATTATTCAGAGTCTTGTTTTATTTTGATGCACTGAGATAAAGTCTCCTACAACTCCTGTTAATGTGTAAAGACAAAACAGAAAATGTAAAAAAAACATGATTCAATTTGATTGTAAATTGCAGTTCAACAGAAATAGGGATCCCCGGGAAGTAAAGACAGTCATGTTGATTTTTCTGATAAATTGTGCTTTACCCGCTGTTAAAACTTGGAACATTCCAAATTATTTCAAACATATACCTTGACATTTTCAGTTACAAAGTATTGGAGGTTGTCAAGTAATTATCACCAATGATCCTAGATTAACTGCCCTTGGCTTGCCACAGTATCCTCCATTACCTAGCAACACTGATCCCTTAAAGATCGAAGAGATTAGAAGAACAGTATATGTGAGCAACCTCGACCCATCTGTAAGTTACTTTTAATTCTTTCATTTCTACAGGAAAAGCTTTTTTTCAAACATTGTTATGTTTTATTCAATGCACCATTATGAAGTTTTGAAAAAGAAAACTGATAGTATTTTTGTAATTTTTGATGGTATATAGTAAGTATCTAAGTTGCCTGATTATTAAGGATTTAATTTCATATTATTCTTCTAATCATGTCATACCCTTTAAATAATTTCATATGCTAAACATAAATGTAAGTGTTAATTTATTTTCAGATCACTGGTGAGCAGATAATGTCATTTTTTGGTCAAGTTGGTGAGATAAAATATGTTCGAATGGGAGGGGAAGAGGTAGAAGGTGGTAAATGTGCATACGTTGAGTTTACAGACCAACGCTCTATAGCCACAGCTCTAACATACAATGGTGTCATGTTCCAGGATAAACCATTGAAGTGAGTTCTTTTGTTTTACATTATGCACTATAGGACTTGTTGATTTGTTTTTGTTTGTAGGCCAAATGTTAAAGGTAGTTTACTTTAAATAGATGTTATCCGGGTCAGCAAATGTGGATTTTTCCATGCTAATCCCCTGATACAAACAAACTTTTACCATTATGGCTTCAAGGTAGACTATCGGATACAATAGATTAGCTTAATTCCTGTAAAAAGGCTTCAAGGTAGACTATCGGATACAATAGATTAGCTTAATTCCTGTAAAAAGGCTTCAAGGTAGACTATCGGATACAATAGATTAGCTTAATTCCTGTAAAAAGGCTTCAAGGTAGACTATCGGATACAATAGATTAGCTTAATTCCTGTAAAAAGGCTTCAAGGTAGACTATCAGGTACAATAGATTAGCTTAATTCCTGTAAAAAAGCTGTAACTGTAAAAGTTTGTCTGTACCCCCGAAATATCTGTGAAAAACTCAAATATTCATAATTTAAGAGTAAGTCTTTGCTTGTTCCTCCTAGGCTCCTAGCTATGAGCTCAAACCCACCATTATCCATTCATCCATGTGAGTTAACTATCTGGCTTTATTTAGATGTTTGCTCATGTCTGAAATAATGCAAAGAGTGGTTTATGAGCACTTCCATGAGTTAAGCTTGAAAGTCACTTTACAGTGCTACTGCGACTTCAAACTTAATTTTGAAAAAAAAAAAAGAATTAATAAACTTTTTGCCATGTTTATCCTTCCTAAATTCTTTATGGCAGTTGTTTTGTTAAAAGGCATCTTTCAATATCTGTTCACTGTCATGTTGACTACAAGAATCATTTGTTAAATCTATATTAAATTTTATTTCATTGTTGTTTAGAGTTTCTGATTGTATGTTGCCCATACATAATTCTATTTGTCATTATTATGCCCCCATTTCGAAGAAAAGGGGGTATATTGCTTTGCACTTGTCGGTCCGTCGGTCCATTGGTCCGTCGGTCCGTAGACCAAATGGTTTCCGAGTGATAACTAAAGAACCCTTAGGCCTAGGAACTTCAAACTTGGTATGGTGATTGGTCATGACCAGTAGATGACCCCTATTGATTTTGGGGTCAAGGGGTCAAAGGTCAAGGTCACATTGACCTTGAAAGCAAAAACGGTTTCCGATCAATAACTAAAGAACCTTAAGGCCTAGGAACTTCAAACTTGGTATGGTGATTGGTCATGATCAGTAGATGACCCCTATTGATTTTGGGGCAAGGGGTCAAAGGTCAAGGTCACATTGACCTTGTAAGCAAAAACGGTTTCCGATCAATAACTAAAGAACCTTAAGGCCTAGGAACTTCAAACTTGGTATGGTGATTGGTCATGATCAGTAGATGACCCCTATTGATTTTGGGGTCAAGGGGTCAAAGGTAAAGGTCACATTGACCTTGTAAGCAAAAACAGTTTCCGATCAATAACTAAAGAACCTTAAGGCCTAGGAACTTCAAACTTGGTATGGTGATTGGTCATGATCAGTAGATGACCCCTATTGATTTTGGGGTCAAGGGGTCAAAGGTCAAGGTCACATTGACCTTGAAAGCAAAAACGGTTTCCGATCAATAACTAAAGAACCTTAAGGCCTAGGAACTTCAAACTTGGTATTGTGATTGGTCATGACCAGTAGATGACCCCTATTGATTTTGGGGTCAAGGGGTCAAAGGTCAAGGTCACATTGACCTTGAAAGCAAAAACGGTTTCCGATCAATAACTAAAGAACCTTAAGGCATAGGAACTTCAAACTTGGTATTGTGATTGGTCATGACCAGTAGATGACCCCTATTGATTTTGGGGTCAAGGGGTCAAAGTTCAAGGTCACATTGACCTTGAAAGCAAAAACGGTTTCCGATCAATAACTAAAGAACCTTAAGGCGTAGGAACTTCAAACTTGGTATGGTGATTGGTCATGATCAGTAGATGACCCCTATTGATTTTGGGGTCAAGGGGTCAAAGGTCAAGGTCACATTGACCTTGTAGGTAAAAACGGTTTCCAATCAATAACTAAAGAACCTTAAGGCCTAGGAACTTCAAACTTGGTTATGGTGATTGGTTATGAACCAATCAGATGACCCCTATTGATTTTGGGGTTAAGGGGTCAAAGGTCAAGGTCACATTGACCTTGTAGGTAAAAACGGTTTCCGATCAATAATGAAAGAACCCTTAGGCCTAGGGACTTCAAACTTGAGATGGTGATTGGTCATGATCAGTAGATGACCCCTATTGATTTTTCGGGTCAAGGGGTCAAAGGTCAAGGTCACATTGACCTCTTAGGTAAAAACGGTTTCCGATCAATAACTAAAGAACCCTAAGGCCTAGGAACTTCAAACTTGGTATGGTGATTGGTCATGACCAGCAGATGACCTATTGATTTTGGGGTCAAGGGGTCAAAGGTCAAGGTCACATTGACCTTGTAGGTAAAAACGGTTTCCGATCAATTTACTAAAATCTCTTAGGCCTAGGAACTTCAACCTTTGTGTGATGATTGGTCATGACCAGCAGATGACCCCTGTTGAGTTTTAGGTGAAGGGGTCAAAGGTCAAGGTCACATTGACCTTGTAAGTAAAAACGGTTTCTGATCAATAACTCAAGAACACTTAGGCCTAGGAACTTCAAACTTGGTATGGAGATTTGTCATGACCAGCAGATTACTCATATTGATTTTGGGATTAAGGGGTCAAAGGTCAAGGTCACAATGACCTTGTAAGTAAAAACGGTTTCTGATCAATAATTAAAGAACGTTCGTCCTAGGAACTTCAAACTTTGCATGTTGATTGGTCATGACCAGCAGATGACCCCTATTGATTTTGGGGTCAAAGGTCAAGGTCACATTGACCTTGTATGTTAAAACGGTTTCCGATCAATAATAAGAGAACCCTTAGGCCTAGGAACTTCAACCTAGGCATGGTGATTGGTCATGACCAGCAGATGACCCCTATTGATTTTGGGGTCAAGGGGTCAAAGGTCAAGGTCACATTGACCTTGTAGGTAAAAACGGTTTTCTGATCAATTTACTAAAAACGCCTAGGCCTAGGAACTTCAAACTTTGTATGATGATTGGTCGTGACCAGCAGATGACCCCTATTGAGTTTTGGGTCAAGGGTTCAAAGTCATGACCAGTAGATACTTTATAACCCTTATTAATTGTTTGATCACTGGGTCAGAAGTCATGCATTATAACCTTATCACATGACTAATTGGCTGCTGATAGGGGGCATACATGTTTTACAAACATATCTTGTTTTATCAGTGTTGCCCACTCCACTTCAACTATAGAGAAACCTAAAACAAAGATGCAAGAGGCGGCCCAGAGGGAGATAGAAGAAGCTATGAAGAAAGTTAAGGAAGCACAGTCACTCATTACAGCTGCTGCTGATTCTGGTAATTATAATTCTTTATGGTCTTTGTTTTTATTTGCTTATTACATAATATGTAGACTTGTAGATACAGTTAAGATTTGTACAGTGCAGCTGTTACAAGATATGCAGATTTTATAAAGAGAAAAAAAAAGAGAACCCATCCCTCCCCAAATATATATATATGTAAAACTACTTCTAATATTTCAACAGCATTAGATAAATCAGAATTATATATTAATAAGAATTTTGAAGCCAATGTTGGTATTTGTCAGGGTAATATTTTCTACTAAGCGTGCTGGTAGGGATTTAAAATGTTGATGTATATAAAGAAATTAATGTTAATGGTACAAAATTTTATTACTCTGTTTTATGCCCTTTGGTATGCAATTGAAGTAATTGCAATTTTTCAAAATAGGGGCAAGTTAAAAAAAAGAAAAAGAATTTAGAAATAATTGTAATCTGTAGCTAAATATGTAGTTTGTACTTGTTAAACTTATTGAATACTTACGTCTCTTTTAGATAATATGGGGTTAAGCTTGAGAAATAAATAGTTTATCAAAACAAACATGCACTACTTATTCTTGAATGATTTTATTTAGTCTGTTAGTGCTTCCACTACAAGTGTTAACTAAAACAAGACTTAAACATGAAAATTATGCTTCTTGATTTCACATTTTAGCTTTCTTTTATACAAGAATTGACAGGTTTACAAATATCAAGTTTTCCTCCAGTGTAAACCGGTTCGATCCCCTAGAGATGCTTTGGTAGTTAAGCGCGGAGGAAGGTAATCTAGTACTGGTGTAACTCTCCAGGAACGATGGTTAGGAAACTACCCGCCTATATGACTGAAATACTGTTGGGGAAAAGGCGTTAACATTAAACAAACAAACAAAATCTAGTGTAAACCCTTTAAATTATATGTTAGTTTCCCTATTTTTGCTACAGGTGACTTGAACATAGACAAAACAGTGTCAAAGCTGGCCTCAAGTGAGTATCAGCCAGGAAAAGATAGCTCTTCAAAGAATGGTTGTTAACATTTAGATACTTGAAGGATATAGTATCACTTACTTATATCATACATTATGATAAAAAATTTCTGTCACTTATCTTGATTTTCATTTAGATATTAAGACTAGTATTTCTACTTTAATGTAAGACAAGTATAGATTATATACGAACAAAACTTTGAAAGAAAAAAGAAAAATTTAAAATTACAGTACAGAATTTTTTGAAAATATTAAAATTTTGTTTAAGAATTATATTAACTGGTACATGTTTAACAACATATGGCATTACGCAATATAAAATATATTGATCGACTATTAAAACAGTCATTTCAATTTTTGTTTTCTGTAGGTTTTGGAGGAAGCAGATCACGGTCAAGGTCACGTTCAAGGAGGCACAGGTCCCGGTCTAGATCCCGACGTAGAAGTAGATCTAGATCTCGCCATCGTAGATCAAGGTCTAGAAGAAGATCAAGATCTAGGAAAAGATCTAGGTCACGAAAACGATCAAGGTCAACCTCAAGGAAAAAGAGGTCAAGTTCAAGGTAAAAAGGTTTTAATAATTCCAGTTAGCTTGCTTAATCTCAAATATATAAAAATATGCCTTTCTAATTTGATACGAAAATATCAGGTACAACAGTAAATATTTTTGAATTGAATTTTTGATGTTTACAAATGTGACATTTTCATTATAATTCTATTTTTAGGACAACAGAGGCTGTTAAAGCGTCAATTGGGTATGTATGGTTTATATGAATACTCAATGCTAAATTGGCCTAGTATACATTATATAGATCTCAAAGCTACTTGTTTACATGTCTCAGAAGATTTCATTTGATGTTAAACAGCGAAAGTGCCTTACAGCTCATTCAGGTGACATGTTAAACTATACATGTACTTAAAAATTGTAAATTTGTGTAGAAGAGAGAAAACTTGTAAATTGATAATGAAACTGAAATTTCATGACACTGGAAATGGACATTTCCAAGTTTAAAGTATGTAGATCTGCAGAGAAATGTTTAAAGATTTCACTGTGGTAGAACACAAGAAGCTTCACGAAATTTTATATATATATGTGATTACTGATGATAACTCTATGTGGTGTAATGCTAGAAAGACCTTGACTCTCAAAACTTAATGTTAAAAAAAAAGAAGAGGACAAACACTAGCTTTCATTCACCTGCACATTACATTTTTTTAACCATGAATCTGAAAATTTTATGACAACTGTTTCAAAATAAGTATCATGTAAAGTCATAAGTTTATTACCCAGAGAAATGTAAATTTATGTTATTTAAATTTCTGCTCTAGAAAACTTTTTTATGGTTACTAGAATTTAAGTTTATCATATTTATCAGCAATGTTATTTATTGTATTATTTTCATGAATACCGGTATGTAAGGAAGACTGTTATAATACATGTCTAATTTGTAGCTACCCTCTTTTCCTGTCTGTAATATTAAATGAATGATATTTTTTACAAGATATGAAATTTAAGAATTGAGGGTAGTCATGCCAAAGTTTTGATAGAAATTGCCCATTGTTGGTTTGTAAATGAATTGTTAGGCTCATTAAGTTTTACTCAATTTTTGCTTGAGTAGAAAGACGGAAGTACCTGTACCAGTGTTCGGGTATGTATTAATATATAGAAAACATAAATATATAATATATCTACTGTCTGTCATAAGTTGCAACCCAGCTTACATGTCACTGTAAATCTAGGCATTTATTGCACTCAGCTTTCGTTATATTTGGTTGCTACAGTGATGGTTATGTTTGTATGTTTGGTTTTTAAGATATTTGCAAGAAAATAAGCATTCATTTAACTGCTTATTTGAGATTGTTCTGTTGCAGGCTGTCCAGCGTCCCTAAAATTCCTAAAAAATCCTAATTTTTTTCAGTTTGGCTAAAATTCCTAAAAAAGTGAATAATTCAAAGGGAATTCCTAAAAATGCCCTATTTTTTCACTGAAATTCCTAATTTTTTTATCTTTTGTTATAAACATACTTATAACTTGTAATCCTGCGAAAATGGTCTTGAAAATGTTTTGAACATGGTCAAAAATGATTTGGCCATGATTTGCCAACTCAAAATTGGTGACTATAAGGTTTCGCTCCAACTAAAAGTTACTTTGACTATGTCCGTAACATTACTTTTTCATAATCAAAGCAGTTGTTTAAAATCATGTTGACAGTTAACAGCAAAAATACTACCATATCATGGTCCTGAAACTTAAATCATATCCATAAGAGGTCCACTTATTCTGGAATATTTTGACACTGTTTTGCCAACTCCAGATACCTTGAATTTTATGTTTCTTCTTTTTTTCCAAATGGCTGAAGTGGTCCATTTATATTGTCATATTTGAAAATGATCATTATGAAGCTGTTGTAACGCAATCTTAATTAAAAACATGTATAAATAGTTGTCAAAAATTAATGTACAATTTGTTTACTCACAACTCTTTTATTTAAATCTGCATAATTTCAAAACAACATTGTAAAGTACTAAATGTGTTAATGTAGACTTTGCAAAATTTATTCTTTCCCTCATACTTATGTATCCTTTCCGATGCCATTTTAGGAGAAATATTTTGCCACAAAGTTATCAATTTCATTCAATTCTTGTTCTTTCATTCATATGGTGTGATTTAGGAAAAGGCAGACTCAAATAATGTAATCACACTCAAAATAATTTGGCAGCTCAATTTAAATTTAAAGCTCATTTCCACTTACCATGTACACACATTTTGCAGTTATATGATCTAAATAAACTGCAATTGAATAGTCTGTGTGAATGAACTTTTTTGATGTGCAATTCTTTGTGTTGATAACAGATGTTTCCCATTTGTTCAAATGATTGTACTAAGGCTAATGCCTTTTTACTTCCTACTTGTACAAAAATTTCATTTTGTCCATATTCAAAAGCTGCATTGTGCATGAATTTCACTGTATAAGAATTCCTTTTATATAACATTCCCAAAATATAACATTCAACCATTGAAAAAACATATTTCAAATATGGTTTGAACATGGTTTGACTATGACCCAGGGGAGGCAGTTGACAGTGAGTCCACACTGGTAGACACCTCTTTGCTCTAACTAAACTAGAGTATTATTTGTGCGTTACTGTTGAATCAAATATGCAAAGGTTAGCCCACATCATGGTCTTTTGGGGCCTTAGTTTAGTTATAAAATTCCAAATTATAGCCCTAAAATTTCTATTATGTACCCTAAAATTCCTAATTTTAGCCCTAAAATTTCTAAAATATTGCCCTAAAATTTGCCCTTATTTTTTGTCGGAAGGTGCTGGACAGCCTGCTGTTGATAAAAAAGTGAATAAATTAACAGTGGATATTCCCTCCCTTTTTTGTGAAATTATTTGAATTGTACCTATTCAACAAGCTAGAGAAGACTCCATGGTGAAATGGTCAACTTCGCTTAATTTGAATCACTTTTAAATTCTGTCAAATGTTGTACAAAAGATGATTCTTATAGAATATTGTTGGTTAAATAACTTATGTAGAGGTACATTTAGGATCTGTTGTCAATGTTTAAACTTTAACCGATGTCACCATTTGCAATTTACAATGTTGATGTGAGACAGATTTGTTCCACTTGAAAAATATGTTTTTCCGTTAATTGAGTCTTTAAATTCCTATCCCAATCTTAAAGTTTTGTTCAAAAAGGAGTTTCTGTTACTTGGTTTCAATGGCCTAGCCATTATTGTTTTCTTAGATTACTATGTAGAGACATATAAATGTTAACACCAAAAGTAAGTTTTTTTACAAAGCAAAGTAGAAATTAATTCAGTTGAGAGATAAAAACTACACTGAGGATTGATGAGTTAGTTTATCAAAGTTCTTCGCAATTTGTGTTTCTTTAACAACATACATGTGTTTTAGTATATATTTTTATCACATACCCATGCCACTTTTACTACTCCATAAAAATGGTATTGCATGGCCGTGCATATATTTTGACGTGACGTCATATTCGTTATATAACCATAGCGTTAAGACCCATTAAATGTTAACATTATACTAAAGGTTTGTGTATGAAAAATGGTTATTTTTAACTTCAAACGGTCTTTATTTTGGTATGTTATAAATAGAATGTTAAATTTGTGCAAGTTTGATACATAATTTATTGAACTTGTTGAATAAAATAATATTATGCTAGCCAGAGGCTTGCATAATATAATTTATTCAACTTTTCAACAAAGTCAGTATTAGACTAACACTCATTCAATATCCTCTATTGATAGATTTTAGCATTAGCACCTTATAAAAATAGCTGTGTTGTAAATATGATAAGTTGTATATGTATAAAAATTGGTTAATGTTATACACTCTATTATCTTAGTTATATTTCTGCATTCTCATTGTATGTGACTACTTTGATTATAAACTATGAAATTTTTTGTTTCATTATTTTTTAGTTTCATTTATTTTGCATGAAGAACATTGCTTTGGTTTCAAATAGTGAATAAGATGTATTAGTCTGATGTTGATTGACCTAATTTCTGTATGGTTGAAATAAAAAAATTGTATGTGAAATGTATAGAAATATGATAAGAAAAAAAAAATTATTTCTGTAGAATGGACATTGTGGCATCTAGCACCACCAATACTGTATTTATATTCACTGAAATAAGTTAGTACTTTGTCAATGCCTTCTTGCTTTATTCCCTTTCTAAAAGGACATTAAACTATTCCATTGATCTTTAAAAAAAAAACACAACAACTTTTGGCCATAAACTAATGGATGAATATTCATTAAACTTGATCAGTATACTGTATATTTTTTATACAGATCGAATTTAAAATTGTATGAGTAAATGTGGTCAGCCCATATAAGCAAATACCACATATTAAAATAGATTTAACCTTTATATGAAGGTTCATTAATTGACGAATTAATCTAGAATATATGTGGTATTATATTGCATCTTTTAATGGATGTTTCTTATTATGAAATGATTGTTGTTGGCTCCTGATACGAGTCATAGTGGCTTAGATAATTTTTTTGATGAATCTATTTATAGATCATCACAAAATTGGTTCTCGTCACTCTTGAGTTGTCAGAAGATCCAAGGATTGTCACCAAACTTAATGTATTACACTCATTTATTACAATGCTAACTTCCCATATAACATAAGCTGATCCTTTCTTGTGTTTGTTAACAGACCTTGAGAACAATGCCCTTTTACTAACTGGTGGTTTCAGAGAAGTTTGTTTTTGCAATTATTACATGGTGCATAATTATATAATCATAAGCTGACATCATAGATAAAATATCATTTCCCCACTTACTAGGACATGTTTCTTTAGTCCGTGATATAAGGCCATCATAGACCTCTTGTTTCAAACAAAAATCTTCAGACTTTATTAAAATTAAGTAGATATAAACACATGTATCTATAAAGTATTTCTTCAGGAATAAATTCATGATATCATTAATCTTTTCAGGACAAGTGGTTTGAAGAAACCAGGACCTGGGTATGTGTATTTTGAATAGTCATTCTATATTAATAAACTCTGTGTCCTTGCTTACAATCCTTATCTATGAATAACATTTGCTAGATTTTTTTTTTTTGAAAAATGTGAGTGCTTGAAAATTTGAAACTAAGTTTTTACTAATAGAATACATAAGAAACTTGTAAATCTCAAAGCTACTGAACTGATTTCTGTTGATTCCAAATACTTTTTAGATGCCTATGTTTCATATTTAAGCTTAAAAATATTTAACTGTTCAACTAATGTAAAGTTTTGTAAATCCTATTTTCCCTAGTTTGAAGTGATTTCCCCAGTCCTAAAGACACTTATTCACTAAATGATTTCTGTTAATATCTGTTCATATTTATCTGAAATCTTGTCATTTTCATTTGCAGTTAATTTCTATATTTTCTGATTTCCTATTTTTCCTTTTTACAGAATGCCAGGCGGACCAGGCACTGGGTAAGGAGATATTTTTGTTCTATATTTATACTTTATCTGTTTTGTAGGTATGATCAGGGCTCACACTGGCTCAAATAAAATAATAGCCAATAATTTCAACTTAAAAAAATAATAGCCAAATTAAAGTTCAGCGGACTATTCACGAATTAGTGATTAACAACATAAGCAGTTGATTAAATAAACATTACATTTATATCTTTCAGTTTTAAAAGGATTCTCAAATAAACTGATACATTTGTGTATATTGATAACTACCTTTTTTTAAATAGAACCACAACTTTAATTGTTATTATAGAACAGAATAAAAACATTATAATTAGTATAATTACTGTATAACAATAATATTAAAGATTCATTATAACTTTACATAATGCTGTTATCAGACAACTTTTTTTGTTTGTTGAAGTTCTAATCAAATTTTGTCAGCTATAGCCACTGTCAATTTCCACATTTCACACAGAACTTGAGTAGATCTAGGTCATATTAGCCTATAGAAATAACACAAGTTTGCAAACTCATTCACAGAATGCAGCCTTTTTTCTGAATAGTTTACTGAAAAATATCATCATCACCAATGTAATACAAATTTTCTGCCATAGTAGTAAAGATTTTTAAACAGAACATAGCTTATTTCACCTTTAAATAAATATAAAAATTATCGGTGTCGCGAAAATATGTGACAATCGGATTTTTCCTGTTTTCTGAAGAAATATTCACAATTTTGGTTGTTGTGCAAATAGTTGTTTGGAATTTAATACTTTTTATGCTCCCCGAAAAATTTCGGGGGAGCATATAGTCGGCGCCTTGTCCGTCTGTCCGTCCGTCCGTCTGTCCGTCCGTTTTCTTGTCCGGAGCATAACTTGAAAACCCTTGGAGATAATTTGTTTAAACTTCATACAGTGGTAGAGGGCATTGAGGGGGAGTGCAGTGTCAAAGAACCATAACTCTATTTTGCCCGGTTTTTGAATTATCTCCCCTTATAGAAAAATCTTGTCCGGGGCATAACTCTAAGACTATGAGAGATATCAACATGAAACTTTGTAGGTGAATAGATCTCAATGGGTAGATGTGCAGTGCATAAGAACAATAACTCTTTTTGTCCTAATTTTGGAGTTATTGCCCTTCGTTAATTTCAACACTTTGAACTTTGTCCGGAACATAACTCTAAAACTATAAGAGATATCAAGATGAAACATTGTAGGTAGATAGATCTCATTGAGTAGAAGTGCAGTGCAAAAGAACCATAACTCTGTTAAGCCTCATTTTTGAATTATCTCCCCTTATAGAAAAATCTTGTCCGGGGCATAACTCTAAAACTATAAGAGATATCAATATGAAACTTTGTAGGTGAATAGATCTCAATGGGTAGATGTGCAGTGTCAAAGAACCAGAACTCTATTTTGCCTGGTTTTTGAATTATCTCCCCTTATAGAAAAATCTTGTCCGGGGCATAACTCTAAAACTATAAGAGATATCAACATGAAACTTTGTAGGTGAATAGATCTTAATGGGTAGATGTGCAGTGCATAAGAACAATAACACTTTTTGTCCTATTTTTGGAGTTATTGCCCTTAGTTAATTTTAAAAGTGAACTTTGTCCGGAACATAACTCTAAAACTATAAGAGATATCAAGATGAAACATTGTAGGTAGATAGATCTCATTGAGTAGAAGTGCAGTGCAAAAAAACATAACTCTGTTAAGCCTCATTTTTGAATTATCTCCCCTTTAAGAAAAATCTTGTACTGGACATAGCTGTAAAACTATAAGAGATATCAACATGAAACTTTGTAGGTAGATGTACCCTAATGGGTAGATGTGCAGTGCATGAGAATCATAACTCTGTTTTGCCTAATTCTGGAGTTATTGCCCTTTGTTTATTTTTACTTTTTGAAGTTGTCCGGAACATAACTCGGAAACCATAAGAGATATCAACAAGAAACTTGGTAAGTTGATAGATAACAGTGATTAAAAGTGCAGTGCAAAGAACAGTAACTCTGCCTTTCCTAATTTTGGAATTATTGCACTTTGAACTTTTTCCATGGACATAACTCTGAAACTACAAGAGGTGTACTTTCCTGTGTCCAAAACCTATTCGGGGAGCATCACCCGGCTCAAACCGGGCTCTTGTTAAATATTTTACCATTGTTTTCCACTGGCGATTTAGTCAAGTAGCTTAAAACAAAACAAAAAATCAAAATTTGCAATTACTGGAATTCACGGTAAATTTTGGGTAAGTCAATATCCAGTTTATCAATTTTAAAACGATTTTTGTGGCTAATTGACGGATATTTGATGGCTATTATAAATGCTGGACAATATCTTTAAAGTACTTATACAATTATACATCTTGCATGTATTTTATCACCTCGGGCAATATAGTTAGCAGCACGTTACCGGTAAAAAGTTGACACTCAATTAAATGCACCCCGCTGGTTTAATTGGGTCTACTGCATTCATTATCGATTTTCACACCTCATATAAACACTGTTGGAAGTAAAAAATAATCGCCAGATTTTGTAGCCAAAATGCAAAAATAATCACCAATCTTATAAAATAATCGCAAATGGCGACTATGGCGACCGACAGCGTGAGCCCTGGTATGATTCTCTGACTTCAACTAGAGAGTTAGACAGTACAAGTTGTATAAATTAAGCATTTGTTTAGTCTATCTATGTTTATGTGAAGCTATGATCATCATGTATATGGCAAGTCAGGTTATCTTAGTAAAGGAAAACATCAAATTTTCAGAAGTTGGATATCCTGTATGACTTTCTAAATCAGAAAAGACAATTTATTTACAGAAATTTTGACCGCCCTCCCCGCCTATGTTTTCAGCTATGACATTGAAAAGTACTAAGATGGTAACACAATGTACTGCTACATACTAGTGATAAAATAAACATAAGCAAACAAATTTTTATAATTAATATATTTGGCAGTACTTTTGGTGTTTGCATGTCAGATATTAGTTATAAGAAATTTCTCAGTATGAATATAGAGTGAAAATAATTTTTGAATAGTAGTTACTTAACTAAGTAATGATATTTCAGGAGAAAAAGGTCAAGGTCATCCTCAAGAAAAAGAAGATCTAGGTCAAGGTCAAGAAGGAGAAGATCCAGGTCAAGGTCAAGACGAAGAAGATCAAGGTCAAGGTATGTAATTTTTTATTTACCTTTCTTTTTATGGTGATAAATTTCACGATATAGAAACTAATTTTACTTTATTGCTCTGATATTCTTATTTTAAAAATTGTAGATAAAATTGAAATTTTTAACCATGTGAAGTTTACACAATATTTTTATCTTTTGTTAAAAGGTCAAAGAACAAGGTTGTAAGGTCAGTATGATTAAAACATGAAAGAAATCAAATCATTTGGGCTAAGTTGACACAATGCCAAATATGTTACTTTCTTTTCTGATTATTTTCTGACAAAAACTATTTAAAGCATACTTTATTTTCAGTCATATTGGTTATGCAACATGAAAAACAATTCAAGCTCTTTGTCTTAGGTAACCAAAATCGTATTGTAGCATTGAGTGGCATAGAATATGTGTCTCATTATTAGAATGAAGAAAATGACTTGAAAGGATTTCCCTGAATAACTGTTAAATTTTGAATGTTATTTTATTTTTAGGTTGTTCCCTAAAATCTTAAAAATGGAATGACATTTTGATTTGAAACATCAAAATGAAAATCAAGATCTTTAAGAGTTGAGCACATTTATTATAATTTAAAGATTTTGTCTTTCTTAATTAATTCCTAATTCCTAAAAAATAATCATTTTAAGCACAAGGAAATCTGAAATTGAATTTTTTATATAAGCTTTTATGATAAAGTATACAACTTTAGATGGAAAATATCTTGGTATTTTTACAGGAGAAGGTCACATAGTAGATCCAGAAGGTCAAGGTAATGCAAACTTACTAAGGATCAACTAAACTCTATGCTTTACAACTTAGATTTCCTTTATAGCAGTTGTTGTTATAAAATATACCCAATTGCTTAAGTATAGGCATCCCCTTGATGCTGTTGGTCACCATTCTTTAAAGATTGTTGAATTCTTTCATGTTACAAACCTACCTAGCTAACTTATAGATGGTTAATGTTTCTAACCATATACTGACTTGTGCCTGAAATAATGCATTAAGTGGCACTCAATGTGTCCAACCATCATTTAAGTGGATAAATTGTCATAAAACATTATGCGTATAACTGGAACTTAAATTTAATTAAAAAACAAGAAGAGAATTGTAGTGAGATATTTGCTCAGATATAATCTTTACATAAACAGTATCTGCATGATATGTTATATTTGTCATACTTGTGACATATGAATCCTTTTTTATAAAAGTTGCATTTTACTATGGAAATAAGAAATTTGTAACAATGGTAGAGACTGATTACTTTATTCTTACAGAAGTCGTAGAAGGAGTAGATCTCGTCGTAGGTCACGCTCTAAGAAGAGGTCACGTTCTCGTTCAGCATCTCCACCACGACTGAGACGTGAGGGGTCATATCGTGGATCTAGCAGGTATAGTGTTGTAGTTATGCTAATGATGTATACATTTGATGTTCTGCTTGTCACAGTTATCTCCTTATCTCTTCATTTTGTTGTCAGCTATTGCACATTTAATATTTACTTCTAGCAAGAAACTATACATTTCTTTTTATGTCTAAAACATGAGGTGATATTTTGTTTTTCTAATGATATATTTGTTAACAATTTGAAAAACATTTTGTTAATTTTTCTATAGAATTGCATTCAGTAACTTTCTGATTCTTGTAAGGGTTCCATGGTTATTGTCAAAATGTGCCATAGTAAATTGCAAATTGAAGAGAATTGGCTAACTCTTTTCTGTGTGTCATAACTTTTATTTGGACTTTTTTCAAAGGATAGTCATTGGAAAAGGTATATACTGTAGATTGGATAAGTTATTAAAACTTTTAGTGAAAAGAATGTGCTACTTTTATATTGATAATATTAGTTCTTGACATTTTGTAGAAATTTTAAGGTGTGTATAATTTGTTATAGATATTTTGACAAACTTATTTTGAAAAGATAGTTTCATTAAGATGACAAATTGAACTATTAGATCATAGCTAGTTCAAGTTTCTCTGGGTTAATAGGGATTCTCATTCTTTTTTAACATGCATAGAAATAAATGAGCTTCGTCACGACAAAACCAACATAATGGGTTTGTGACCAGCATGGATCCAGACCAGCCTGCGTATCCGCACAGCCTGATCAGGATCCATGCTGTTCGCTTACCAACCCTTTTACAAGTAGAGTAACTGATAGCGAACAGCATGGATCCTGATCAGACTGCGCGGATGCGCAGGCTGGTCTGGATCCATGCTGGTCGCAAACCCATTACGTTGGTTTTGTTGTGACGCGGCTCAAATAACATTTGGGCTTCTAGTCAGATAAAACTCAGATTTCACCAATGCCTATTTAAAAACATTCTCTGTGCTTCTTGAATGACTTACTTCAATTTTAGCATTAATGTTCACTTTCAAAAATAGTAATAAATGGACCTATATTGATCACTCCAGTGACATCTATAGTTAATTTTTAAATGCTTGATATTGCTATGAATCCTTCTAATAGTAACCATTTCCTAACTTTTAGCATTTTATCACATAGGTATCTAAGACAGTAGTTATTTTTGCATCTGTTTCTGACAAATTTTTGCTGATTTTAGTGCTTTATGGCCATTTAACAGACAAACTGGTCTAAGTTAAGAACTAATTATTATAATTGTGTGTTCCATAGTTAATATTAATTGTAGCTTGTTAAACTATGGCAACACATGGCATACATAACCTGTCTAAAGTTATTCAAAATCCTGTTTGTATGCACATGTTTTGTGTGGGTTGTTATTATTTTATGTATTGAAGGATTGATAAATAACTTGGTAAATATGGTCAACACATTAAGACTTGGTGTGCAAGTTTCATAACTTTATCTGAAACACAGACTGAAATTCCGTTGTGTGTGTAAGGACTCTTAAATAACTGCTTTAACATTGAAATAGATGATTCATCAGAGAGCTTTTTATTTAGGGATGGCAATGAGTAACTGATTAATCGAGTACTCAATTGAAATCGAACCTTTGAGTATCGATTAACAAAGTTGATACTTGAGGATCTTTTAGAGAAAAATAATCACATTTTATCATTGTAAACATATTTATCATTTTAAAATAAAAAATTTAGAATTACATATAAATGTCCACTATAAACTTGTTAAATTTATTCAAAACATCCCTGCAAAGTTGTGAAAATTGATAGCAAATTGACAGTGGTTAGTGTCTTTTATGAGGCAGTCAGCAGTTTGGCAGGTGTACATGTATGCAATAAACAACAACATGGTTGCTGATATCATTTTCGCCCGCTTATGACATTTCATTTAAAATGTGTTGCTGGAATTTATACCAAGGTACTTTTCAACGATTTTGAAGGGCAAATAGCTTTTGAGAATGTCAGATTTAAGTGATTCATTAGACCCTTGAATCACCAATATTTAACAATATTAATTCTGTGTATCAAAATGTAAAACAATTGTGGATTGCTGATGGTGTCATACTTATAATAAATTAACTACTGTTTTCATTCTCATGACCTGTTTGACAGAAAAAGAAAATAGATGAAAAATGGTTACACATCTTAACAGTCCAAAGAAATCTTCCAAGTAACCAAGTACTTGATTATAAGAATGACAGAGTACTGAAATCGATACTCGTTGCCGTCCCTTTTTCTTACCTTTAAAGCTGCTATCCCACACATTGTTGTTTTTGGCTTTTTTTAAAAAATAATTATGTATGTATTAATATTTATATTTTGAAATGGGGTATTAACAAAGGTTTGTTTTGTCTATTTAGTGTTGGCAAACCTACTGAAAACAGTTCAAATCGTGAAAGGTAAATTACAAACTCACAGTCCATATATTGGATATTATCTTTTGCCATTGTCATATTATTTTATTTTTGATATTAAAAATAACATTCTGTCAATATGTGCATAGAAAAAAATGTTTTTACCCAGGTTTCTATTTGAATATTTAAGTGCAAAAAAAAATAATAAGATGAAGATGTGAAACTTTTTTTTGTAACTGGCTGCATGGAATGGTATCTTTAATCATATTTTATAAATAAATTATTTTTATCAGCTGCCCATGGTGACCTAGTAGTATGGGAGCACAGATTCTATTGTATCCATACTCACCAATGGTCTTCTCTGAAAGCATTTGTCACGTTTATTTCAAATTTTATTTCCTGTATATGATCCTATTGATCTTTTCGTGATAATTTGTTCAAACCATGTCAATTTTAATGGCTGTCAGAGCTAAACAAAGAACCAGTCTTTGATCATCTTATGAATGAATGGTTGTATTATCAACTCACTTCATCAGTACATGTAGCATACTGTAACCCAACGAATATTCGCGACCAATTAATATTCGCTTTATTCGCGGATGGCCACGAAGCGCAAATATTTGTTTGCGCGAATAAGTCCGCACGACTTAGCGAATAAATTGGAGAGAAATTTTTATTTTAGACGTGGTTATGCAAAGCTACTTGAACGTATATATTCGAATTTACGGGCACCTGTTAGGAAGTAATGAATTGTTATGAATATTGCCATAAAGCAATTAAAACACAAACTTAGTAAACTACTACTATTTTATAAATATCAAAAGAACTCTATGTCAATATAGCAATCAAAATAAACATCCACATTTTAATACAGTTTATGAAATACTAGTAGGCCTATTGTCAATCACGTTCCGTATAGGGTACTATACGGAGCATGTGTCAGTTTTAAGTTTCTTCATATTTACACTTCTATACTAAGTATATGCATACAAAGTACTCGCACTTATTTTAAAATAAATGTTTGAATAAATCGTTTGACAAAAGTGGGAAAACTATCGAGCATCACAAAAGGCTATTGTTTTTTGGATCCTATAAAATAATTGTTTGAGTGAATTGTTAAGACAAAGGTGGTATAAACCTATCGAGCATCACAAAAGGGTATTGGGTGTACATAATTACAAACAGTGAAATACAAGATGGTTTCATACTAGTATCGATTTTTACCGTCAAACTTAGCCTGTATAGCTCAATTGGTTAGATTGCGGACTCAGATAACATAATTTTCTCGGCGTGGGTTCGATCCCTGATTGGAGAAGGTATTTTTTTATGAAACGCTTAAATTGAATTTCTTAAAGACTTTTCTAGATAAAATGAAGACGAACGATGCGTACATGTACATATATAGAGAAAATGTTTTGCTGAATTGTGATCACAATTCACTTACCAATACAATATAAGGCTAGCGTATTGTAAATCCCATTTAAGACACCAATAATGACCTCAATTATTGAAGATTAATAGTCGGCTAATGGATTTTACTGCCCCATCGGACATTCCAATCCGCGTATATTTTTTTTCGGAAATCAAGAAAACGCGGAAATAAATATTCGCGAATATGTCCGACCACGGCAAAACGCGAAAATTTGTATTCCCGAATATAAATTGGGTTACAGTACATATCAAGTACAGTTTGTCTGACCTTTTAGACATGTTAATTATCACTGAACTTTATCTGAAGCCTCTAAGATGGTTTCCTATAAAAGTACTAAATCGGTTATACAAAATACATTTGGTTGAAAAAAAAATATTAATATGTTTAAATGATTGTTTCTCTCAAAAGGAATGTTCACATTTCTAGACCTGTCATATTTAAATGGTCCTTTTCCAAGATTACACAAATTGGTTATTTGAATGTTTTGTTAAAAGCTTAAAAAGAAAATCATTTAAATGACTTCATTTCAGTTTGCTATTAACAAATTATTGCCAGATTTTGTCTACATCATCTCTTGATTCTTCCCTATTAACATACACAAATGTAGCTCAAATAACTTAAAAATTCTAAAATTAGAAAAAGGATTTTATCAATGCAATCTCCACTTATTCAGAAAATAGATCTTCATTTAACTTGGTCTGTAGCTTTCTTAGACTGTTCTCTATCAAGATTTAACAATTAGATTCGGTGAGTCTTTGTATAGGCCATCAGAGCTAAGAATAGATTGACTTATGTGCTTTCTTTCATTAAACAATTAGAATAATCATAAATCAGAAATGATATTTAGCATCTTTGGATTGATTTGTGCATCTTTGGATTTATCTTGGTTAATAATGTTTTAAAAGCAAGGTACCATCAATTCTTTAAATTGTAAAAAGTTTAAGATACCACATTTTGTTAATTCTTGCACCATTTATACTGGTGAGGGCTGCAGTGCCATGATGGCTATATCTTTATTTTGACTTACGAGAACTAGGCATGCATAAGTTGAACTATTGCTAATTTGCTATCACCCACCATTTATTTGTCCACACTCAGTCATTATATATATTTTTATCAAATAGGATTGGTATGAAAAGAAAAAGGTTTGTATATAAAGATTTAAAAAACCAGGAGTTTTTCTAAATATTTGTTGTTAATAGTTTTTTAGATGTCAGATTCTATATACCAAGCCATGTTTCTTTATATGAAACCAGTACTGGTTGGTTCCAGGAAGCAGACTCAAAAGTGATTAATATAAGTTGCAAGAACTTGTTTTGCAATCAAGCTTACATAAATATGTTTAAACCATATACCAAGCCTTATGTTCAGAATAACTGAGATCAAATATGTGTTGCCTGAACTATCATTTTTGGTAGGAATTTAGTCAAAAGTTCAGTATTTATGTGTGTAAGACTGAGTCTTCTTACCTTGTAAACCAAGCATTGTGAAGATATGGTTCAACAAATATAAGTTAGATGATGCAGTTAATAGATTTAAGAATTTTTTGTTATATTTTTTAAACATATTTCAAGACATGAAATTTTAATTGATATTGATATATATAAGAGAGAGGGAAAAAACATGTTCCATTTTATCAAGACCACATTGTTCACTATCAGAAAGTCTCTTTCTAAGTTTATATTCTGATTATTGAAGTTTCAGACTGTACATACCCACCACCCCCCTCCCCTTTACTGCTATAATCTATAACCATGCTAATTTTATACAATGGACTTATCCTTTCATTTGTGCGTTGAGGAATTTCAATATCATAACAATAAAATGGAGTAGCCAGCAGAATAGAGCCTGGCCAGATGCCACATTCTGTTACTATATTGGTAGCATACAGTTATAATCAATACTACTACTCTTAGGGTATTTTAATAGAACTTGTATTTTTATACCCCCGCACAACAAAGTTGTAAGGGGGGTATACTGGAATCAGCTTGTCCGTCCGGCCGTCCGTCCGGCTGTCCGTCGGTTTTTTCTTGTCCGCCCAGTAACTTAAGATTCCTTTGACCCTTAGTCTTCATATTTGGCATGGAGGTTAGTCATGATTAGTAGATGACCCCTATTGATTTTAAGGTCACTAGGTCAAAGGTCAAGGTCACAGGGGCTTTGACTTCAAAAAGCTTGTCCGCCCAATAACTTAAGATTCCTTTGACCCTTAGTCTTCATATTTGGCATGGAGGTTAGTCATGATTAGTAGATGACACCTATTGATTTTGAGGTCACTAGGTCAAAGGTCAAGGTCACAGGGGCTTTGACTTCAAAAAGCTTTCCGCCCAATAACTTAAGATTCCTTTGACCCTTAGTCTTCATATTTGGCATGGAGGTTAGTCATGATTAGTAGATGACCCCTATTGATTTTGAGGTCACTAGGTCAAAGGTCAAGGTCACAGGGGCCTTGACTTCAAAAAGCTTGTCTGCCCAATAACTTAAGATTCCTTTGACCTACAGTCTTCATATTTGGCATGGAGGTAAGTCATGATTAGTAGATGACCCCTATTGATTTTGAGGTCACCAGGTCAAAGGTCAAGGTCACAGGGGCCTTGACTTCAAAAAGCTTGTCTGCCCAATAACTTAAGATTCCTTTGACCCACAGTCTTCATATTTGGCATGGAGGTTAGTCATGATTAGTAGATGACCCCTATTGATTTTGAGGTCACCAGGTCAAAGGTCACAGGGGCCTTGACTTCAAAAAGCTTGTCCGCCCAATAACTTAACATTCCTTTGACCCATAGTCTTCATATTTGGCATTGAGGTTAATCATGATTAGTAGATGACCCCTATTGATTTTGAGGTCACCATGTCAAAGGTCAAGGTCACAGGGACTTTGACTTCAAAAAGTTTGTCTGCCCAATAACTAGATTCTTTTGACCCACAGTCTTCATATTTGGCATGGATGTTGGTCATGACTATAAGGTGACCCCTATTGATTTTGAGGTCACTGGGTCAAAGGTCTCAGGGACCTTGACAAAAAAAGCTTTTCTTCCCAATGGCTAAAGTATGTCCTGTCCGCAATGTATTGATTTTGACATTTTCACATTTGAAGCATATAGAATACATAATTTAGCAATGCACTGGCTTAGTAACCTCAGATTTGGCAGGGAGGTTGTCCTTGAGCTCTAAATGGCCACTGTTGATTCTGACAAAGTGGTATGCGGGGGTATTCACGCCATGATAGTGGCAGTTCTAGTTGGTACATATTTTAAGCTCACCTGAGCACAAAGTACTCCAGGGTGATCTTTTGTATGATCGACTGTTGCAACATCTTTTAACATTGTTTCTTTCTTACTTGTGAAATAGCAACCAAAATTTAGTAGAATGACCCTTTGGTGACCTTGTACAAAAGTTACATGATCCAGTCAGATGCATAAGTAGACCACTAGGGCCAATAATAGAGTTACAAAATGAAATCTTAAAAAAATCTCTTCAGAGCTTAGATTTATGTTGTGTAGCATTGCCTAGTGGACCTCTAAAGGAGAGCATTAGATTTGTAATTCGGGAATAATCTAGAATTAGTAGTCTGAGAGTTGCTTGTGAAGTAATTATTGTTTGCTGGTTTGCCAGCCAGTTAAATCATGACCACTAGGGTTAAAAATTGCCCCAACTTGGGTCAGATTTGTTACATAGACTTGAATATGAAATAGACCTTTTATCCCTTTCCCCATGAGCATATTGTGAAAAATGGCCGTTTTCACTGAAAAGCCTCCTGTTACAAGTTCAAACTGCTATGAAACTATGAAAAATGCTTCAATACTAATCAAACTTGGCACAAATGTTGACTGGACCATTGCCTTTGTAACGACATGCTCAGTCTTAAATTTCCTGTTACCATGGCAAAGAGGGGACATCTCAAAATTGCCAAAAATCACTATTTTGCCTCGATTTTTTCCATCAAAATTTATTTCAAAGTGCTGCAACTTCTCAAGGGATTGAGATAGAGTCAAAGGCTTTTCAGCGTTGGTTACACGTTACATTATGATCGACCTGGGGTCATTAGCTCGACTTTTCTATGAAAAGGGGAGCTATCCTACTCGCCCCGGCGTCGGCGTCGGCGTTGGCGTCACACCTTGGTTAAGTTTTTCGTACCACCCCACTTTATTTCAGAAGTATTACAAGTATGGCTTTGAAACTTACCATACTTGTTCACCATCATAACCTCCATCTACAGACAGGAGTACATAACTCTGTCAAGGTTTTTGACAGAATTATGGCCCTTTTTTGACTTAGAAAGTGTATTGAGCTTGGTTAAGTTTTTTGTACCACCTCACTTTATTTCAAAACCATTGGAGGTATTGCTTTGAAACTGACCATACTTGTTTACCATCACGACCTTCATCAACAGACAAGAGGGCATAACTCTGTCAAGGTTTTTGACAGAATTATGCCCCTTTTTGACTTAGAAAATACATTGAATATGGGTAAAATCCACTTATTGCCTTAACCCTTTGAGATATTGCTTTGAAACTTTTAATGCTATTTCACATCATTACCCCCATCTGTACGCAAGAGAAGGTAACTCTGTCAGGGATTTGTTTTAAAAATTAAGGCCTTTTATCGACTTAGAATCTTGGTTAACTTTTTTGTACCAGTCAACTTTTTGACTGAACTGGTTGAGATATTAAATTGAAAGTTGGAATACTTGTTTACCATCATGGTCCCAAAACATGGGCAGGAGAAGGTAATTCTGTTAAGGATTTTATTTGAATTATGGCCCTTTTTGACTTAGAAACTCAGTTAAAATTTTCATTCTTGTCCACTTGTTGACTTAACCATTTGAGATATTACTTTGGAAGTTGGAGTTCTTATGTGCCATCATGAGACCTATCTGTAAGCAAGAGAAGATAACTCTGTGAAAATGTTTCTTGATTTGTACTTAGAAATTCCTAGTTAAAGTCTTGTGTGCCCTTAACTGTCAAAGTTTTGTTTTATAGGCAAGCACTAAAAAAGTCGAGCGCGCTGTCCTTCTGACAGCTCTTGTTTTTAGCCTCTCACAAGTCCAAAATTTTCTTGGCGATGAGGGGGACTCCGCCCCCCCTTCAAACCCCCCTAACAGAAGGGGGCAAATCCCCCTTCTGGCAACCCCCTGATGTATCTTTTGGATGGGGGGGCGACACCGAAAAAGTGCTCAATTTTTTTAGCAACATTTCTCAAACAAAAACATGTGTTTGGGCCCCAAATAGGACAATTTTTCACTATTTGAGGCCTAAAAAAGGGGGGGGGTCGAAAGTGTGTTGTTTCGCATATATGAGGTAAAGGGTTAAGCTAAAACAGAATTTTTAAAAAAATGAAATCGTTAAAAATCTTTTCCCAGAAACAATCCCCAGAGCTAAAATATTTGGCATGTAGCATCACATTTTGGTCCTCAAGTTTTATAAATCATTCCACTAGGGTCAAAATTGGCACACTAGGTGGTTCACTTAGTTTACATAGACATATGTAAGAAAAAATGTTTAAATCTTTTTGTGAGAACTACATAGCTTTGAACTTAGATATTTAGCATATAATACAGTGGAAAAGCTCTGTAAATCATTGCCTTGGGGGGGGGGGGGGGGGGGAGGGGATGGCCCCACCAGAAGGTTATTTTTCAGAATTGAAGGATAATGACCTTTCCTAACAACGGATCTCAGATAAGCAATCTAGGGCCATCATGTGCAATAATTATGCCCCCACTTCGAAGAAGAGGGGGTATATTGCTTTGCACTTGTCGGTCCGTTGGTCCGTCAGTCCGTAGGTCCGTAGACCAAATGGTTTCCTATCAATAACTAAAGAACCTTTAGGCCTAGGAACTTCAAACTTGGTATGGTGATTGGTCATGACTAGTAGATGACCCCTATTGATTTTGGGGTCAAGGGGTCAAAGGTCAAGGTCACATTGACCTTGTAAGCAAAAACGGTGTCCGATCAATAACTAAAGAACCCTTAGGCCTAGGAACTTCAATCTTGGTATGGTGATTGGTCATGATCAGTAGATGACCCCTATTGATTTTGGGGTCAATAGGTCAAAGGTCAAGGTCACATTGACCTTGTAAGCAAAAACGGTTTCCGATCAATAACTAAAGAACCCTTAGGCCTAGGAACTTCAAACTTGGTATGGTGATTGGTCATGATCAGTAGATGACCCCTATTGATTTTGGGGTCAAGGGGTCAAAGGTCAAGGTCACATTGACCTCTTAGGTAAAAACGGTTTCCGATCAAAACTTAAGAACCCTTAGGCCTAGGAACTTCAAACTTGGTATGGTGATTGGTCATGACCAGCAGATGACCCCTATTGATTTTTAGGTTAAGGGTCAAAGGTCAAGGTCACATTGACCTTGTAGGTAAAAACGGTTTCTGATCAATAACTCAAGAACCCTTAGGCCTAGGGACTTCAAACTTGACATGGTGATTGGTCATGATCAGTAGATGACCCCTATTGATTTTGGGGTCAAGGGGTCACAGGTCAAGGTCACATTGACCTCTAGGTAAAAACGGTTTCCGATCAATAACTTAAGGACCCTTAGGCATAGGATCTTCAAACTTGGTATGGTGATTGGTCATGACCAGCAGATGACCCCTATTGATTTTGGGGTTAAGGGGTCCAAGGTCAAGGTCACATTGACCTTGTAGTTAATGACGGTTTCCGATCAATAACTTAGAATGCTTAGGCCTTGGAACTTCAAACTTGGTATGATGATTGGTCATGACCAGTAGATGATCCCTATTGATTTTGGGGTCAAGGGGTCCAAGGTCAAGGTCACATTGACCTTGTAGTTAATGATGGTTTCTGACCAATATCTCAACAACTCAAGTTGCCTTGGTTGATATTTTTATATTAAACTAAAAATGCTTTTGGTATACACATTTGAAGGTCTTATGTAATATAACAACTTGGCTGTCATTAATGAGGCCTACATGATTCATAAAATTTATGCATATATTATTTGGTAAGATTTGTAATAACTTAAATTGCTGCACACAACCTATGGGTCACAATAATTATTACCTTGTGACTAGTCATGACCAGTAGATACTAGATAACCCTTATTAATTGTTTGTTCACTGGATCAGAAGTCATGCATAATAACCTGATCACATGACTAATTGGCTGCCGATAGGGGGCATACATGTTTTACAAACATATCTTGTTTTTACTGCTCTTTTGGTTTTATATGAAAAATAAATAATGGACATTGGAGGTTATTTTTATACTTCATGCAGTTTTGTTGAAGCAAATGACATATTTCCTCAAAGAGCAGTAATACTTGCTTATGGTGTGAGGCATTTGTATTTATCTTGTGTGAAATAAAATGAAAAGTAAGAGAGGAACAGTAAAAACTAATGAAATAAACATTATTATGATTTCCATTGTTTCTTAGTTCACCTGTGTCCAAAAGCAAGACATCTGATAGAAAGAGGTAACAATAGAACTTAGTCTGTTATAAACGTGATTGTTGTAATTGTTTATAATTTTTTCTATCCATTCTAGATATCTTATCATAGAATCAACCTTACTTAGTTTTTAACTTGTAAGAAAGTTTTTGAAATTAGGCATCTTTAATAGTGTGATCTTGCCATTTTATTTGTGTTAAAATGTTTAAAAACTTGCTTCTGGTGTTTAGTATTTAATAATCAGAACCAGGATATGTCAGTATGTCCCACATGCACTTAGTTTGAAGGTCAAGATCAGAAAAAAGGTCATGGATTTAATGTAATACAATGATATAATCATAAGCTGGAGAAGAGATTTGGAAATCAAATGTTAGGGTTCTAGGTTAAAACTTTTAAGTGTCTGCCAGGAAAATCATTTACATTCCTCCAAAAGTGTATGGTAAGACAATAAAAGATAAGCTTTAAAAAAAAAATTATGAATTGTTGAACATGGTCTTATCTTTCTTGTGAATCTTATGAGTATGATTCCAAGTGCTTAAGTGTACTAATGTGTTATATATATTAATATCGTATAGGCAATTATTTAAAAGGTGCAAACATATTGGTGGTAATTAATAATGAAATAACCTAGTATAAATTAAAGTGATAAAATATGTCAACACTATTATATAATAAAATTGAAACAACAGTTATTGATAAGATATATATGATTTTTCTTGCAGGTCATCAAGTCGTGGTCGGAGTAGGTCTCCAGTTAAGAAAAGCAGCCGTAGATCCAGGAGCAGAAGTAGAACGTAAGCATTATCATAAATTATATTCATTATCAATAACAAGAGGGGTTATATACTAAAGGAATCACTTTAATTTATAAAAACTTCCACCTAGTTTATGTATCTTAAAAATCTTGTGGCCCTTTACAAAAGTTATATAAATCATGCTACTAGGGATAAAGCCTTGCATTGGGGTCACCTAGTCTATATAGGCCAATTTACAAAAATGCATTTAAGTCTTTGTGTGAAAGTACCATGAATGTAGCTTATATATTTAATATTTAGCTTTACTTGTGGACCTCTGCAAACGTTACATAAATAATGCCTAGGTGTCACTTGGTTTATATAGTCCTATATATGTTAACACATACATGTATTAGTCTTCAAGTGTGAAACAACAGCACAGAGAACTTAGATATTTGGCATGTAGCATAGCTAGGTGGACTGAAAATTCATACATCATAACCATTGCATTAAACATGGCTTTGCCCAAGGGATCACCTAGTTTACTTAGTCTTACAGACAAATTAACATGTCTTAAAATCCCCCACCCCCTTAATAGTATCTTGCCCCTCAATGCTGTTGGTTTAAATTTGAAGTTTTTCATGCAGGATAGGTGATTGGCTAGCTTACTGTGCACAGGTGCTTTCTCATGCCTCAAATAGATAAAGTGCAAATGGACATCAGTAACACAAATCAATAAGAAGCTTTAAACATAATTTATGTATTCGCATCAATTAAAATGAAAAGAAATAAATGTTTAAATACATTACTTTACTGCATGTAAATTTGACTTATGATTATGTATAATGAAAAAAATATATAAGTAATTCAAAAGTAATTAAGTAATTTGTATTTCATTCTTATTTCTGAAGGAGGAAAAGCACGAAAGGTCGTCACCGCAGTAGAAGTACCTCTCGTAAACGAAGGTCACGTTCGAGGAGAAAGTCAAGATCTCGTAGTGGATCACGTCATAGGTTTGTGCTGTTAATATGTTGATTCATTTTAGATTACCTGCATGCATATAATAAAGGAGAGGTATTGGGAAAAGTCTGTTTCATCATTAACATTTAAACATCATTGACACTCTAGAGGTCACGGTTTTGATTATATCTTCTTCAAACTTTGCGAGAATGTTTCTTTATATAGAAAGCATTTGTTTGATTTAATTTTCATAAACTTTGTCCAAATGTTTCACTCATTAACATTTAGGACAAATTCAAACACTGGTTATTAGGACCAAGGATCAGAGCACAAGGTCAATTTAAAGCTAAACCTTGTTAACACTTAAAGAGACGAAATATTTTGATTGGATAAAAGTCCTGATCAAGACTTTCTTCCCTTGATTTCTGTTTTGAGTGTGAGATAAAAGGTATATAAGTTTTATCTGGTGAGTGATAAAAAAGGTTACCATGGTTATAGCTTTGCATTGATAGTCCACCCACTTACCTGAATAGGGAGAGCATCAGATTTGTATTGTTTAGTTGGTTTGGTTATCAGGCAAGGTAAATTTTCTTTGACACCATTTATCTTGGACATTGAATTTAATGGTAGTCTCGTACAACTACTTAATAAGTCATGTGGGATAAGTAGTCAATTAGTTGCTGAGAAATTGGTAATTACTGGTCAGTTATCCAGGTAAGATAGTAAAAGTGGACCAACCACTGAGCTATGATAAAAAAATGTGTTATAGTAGTGTAAAATCCAAACAAACATGCACATTAAGTACACTCTAGGTATATTATACTTAGATCAAGTTCATTAAAATCATTGGGGAGTGATATGTTTTCTTGTATCCTCAAGGAAAATTACAGATATTTATAAACAGTTTTCAATTCATACACTAAATAATACTTCATTTAATTTTCGTTGACCTGAATGCTAGATGTCTATGAAGTTGTTTGATAAGTATATTAATGATATAGTTGGGTTAGAAACAGGTAGATCTTAGATTAAAATATTGTCCATATAAATCTGGTGTTGACATGTGGTTTCTCTGTATTTTTCCTTTTCTACCCGTTTGGATTGATTTTGTAAAGGTTTTTTTTCATAATTTGCATTTCATTTATTGTGCTGCTTATTATTTTATTTTCAATCCTGAAGGTGATGATATCACAGAAACCCGAAGATCATTAAATTTGATTCAATTTTTACTCAGTGTTAGACATGTTGTTTTCATTCCTATCTTTATCATTCAATTTGCTAATTTGCAGATCCAGGAAGGACAAGAAGAAGGAAAGAGATAGGGATCGTAGCAGAGACCGAGAAAAGAAGAAGAAACATAAAGAAAAGGATCGAGAACGAGATCGTGAAGAGAAGAAGGAAAATAAAGTCAAAAGGGATTATGATGAAGAGGAAAAAATCTTGTATGAGGAGGAAGAGAAGGCCCATGATAATAGGAAAAGCAGCAGTGATGAAGATGATGACGATGATGATGACGACGATGATAAAAGTAGGGGAAGTAGTCCAGAGCCGATACCTACGCGTATAACTAATTCAACTGTTAATACAGATGATTTACAGCAAGTTGATATGGAGATGAGTGATTGAATGAACAAAATGATATACAACGGTATCTCTTGCCTTTTGTATATTCTCCGGTTGATTTTAAGGGAAACAGTTTACATGTTTTGATGTCATAGTTTCTCTTTTGAGCTGAAGGTGAACTTGTTTATTGATTGTTTTGAATGAGTTAATATTAAGTAAAAGATAATAAAGATAAACATTGACATATGTTTATCTTATGTATGTTATGATTTATTGCAGACACAGTTTGGTCACAACGTGAGGGTGTAAACATTTTATGTTGTAAGGTGTATTGAAGAAATTTTGCACATTTTATCTTAAAATCAAAAGCTTAGAAAATGAATTCAATATCAACATAAGTGCATGTTTTATATCTTATTCAATTTAGTAGATACATTTTGTTTAGCTGTCATGAATTGTTTTCTGATTATAGATAGATTTGTAAAGAGGTGTTTGATACAACATAATGAACGAAATGCTGAATTAAGTAGAGATGGGATATAATGTTGTTTGTATTTTGATATTGTACTTTTCTAATTGTAAAACTGCTCTTTTCTTTCATTTCATGAGTAGATTTCTGTATTCATTGATCAAGCTTACATTGTACATGACCAATAAAAAAAATATAAATGGGTGTTAACGTTATTGTTTTAATTTCTTCAAATGTTGCTGTACAATTGTAGTTTAATTGTATGATGTTGCTACAATATAAAATATTAATGGTAGAAAATAACCTATGCTTTGAAGTAATCATGAGTGTCTCATGACAGATGAGTTTCAGGTCAGGTGCAGAAATGTCATTATGATATAAATTCATAATTGGCTGAAAACTGGCAAATACTACAAAGGGAACCATATTGATATATCATATTTAACATTATCAAAACAGGCTAGTAAAAGAGTTTCTTGCTTGCCCTTATTATTACAGTAAGAATATAATATGTAAAAACAAAAAGAATAATAAAAAAATAGCTTTTTACAGATGAAAACTGGTCTTTGTATGAAAAAAGGGAAGCAACTCTGTCAGACTGGCTCTCTAGAGACAAGATATGTGGAAGTAATTTATCTAGATGTTATTGTCGAGTGATCTGGTATGTTTCAGAAAAGAAAATTTTGAAGTTTTGTGACCCTTGGCTATATTTTGATATCTGGATGACATAGGTCGCCTCACTACAAATTTCAAGCAGGCACACCCCCACACCCCGAGTAAAACCAAGATTTTCTGTAAGCGGCTCTCTCACATGATTGAACTGAAATATGCAGGGGTTCAAACCCAAACCGTTGAGAGGCAAGTCTTTTGAAGTCGAAGACCTTAACCACTTGGCTATGGACATTCCTATTACCTAGATAACAGACTCAAACCATTTGAAGAATTTTGTTAGAGCTCCATGCAAAAAAAATTCTATGGCAAGTTTGAAGAAAATATTGCCGGAGAGGTTTCAGGGATGTTGCTTGAAACAAACAGTTGCAGCTCACAAACAACTGTTCTTTAAGCTCACATTAGCTAATAATAAGAATAATTCAAAAAAGCTTGAACAATTTTATTGCAAATATTGATGCACCTAGAAGAATTCCTGACATTTTCCTAATTTACAAAATACATAATAATAGAAATATTTCTGTTAAATGCTAAGCAAATCCAGTTTATATGCACTTATCAAAATATATAATTGAAAGCAATATAATGTATGTGTATATTTAAAATGTATACTAAATGTTATTTCAAGACACTTGCAGAACCCTGTAATCATCGCACACTTTATAAAAATACATGTACATGATAAAAAATTTACTCCACTGGTAATTTTCCTCAGAGTTATTACAATTTTGCCCCGCTTAAGAATAATCATAAAACCATCTGTTTTAATAAATAAGTAATGAATAAATAGGTATAGCTAAGCAATTATCTCGGAACATCAATCTTATTTATAACACTGGCAAGTAGGTAGAAAAAATCCATACAAATGATATTAATAATGATTTAGACCAACAGTTGTCTTATAATACCTTCGAAATGAAATGTTATCTTTATAAAAATAACACATATATGCAAAACATACCTAAAGCATACGCATTCATCAAAAGAAGTGAATAAGAACTACATTTAAAATAAATTTAAGTGGTGTTAACACATGATAAAACTTGCTGTCTACAATACAGTTAAATAAGTCTAAAAGAAAAAATACTTTTACTTTGCATGTCTGAAATTGAAAGATGGTGGTCATTTTTTATTTGAACAAGTGGGGGGAAAAACGGCAGAAGATGTGAAGCAAATAAGCAATGGAATGATTAAAAAAAAATGAAAAGCCTAACAAATTTGCAAATGATTAGGCATTGTTAATGTAAGCATGATAGTTAGTATAGGTAAGTGTTTAATAATATGCATTAACAAAAATAATTGGTCAAGCCTGCCGCAGGCAGGCGACCAATTATTTTTGTTAATGCATATTATTAAACATTAACCTATTTAATGATCAACATTATTTTTTTCACCAAAAACAAGACATTTCTCTAAATCACTGATACCTCCGCCCTTTCGCTCTACAAGATGTCTACACCTTGTCAAGTTTCTAACATGTCACATTTAGATAAGCTTAATAAATGACCTTTTCAACATATAATCAGGCACATTTTGTACTGAAATGTCACAGAATTTATACCTTAATCTACAGTAAAAGACTATCATGTTTCTATAAAATATCTGGAAAAAAAAACAGTGAGGAAAACGATGCAATTAGGTAAAAACAATAGAGTTAATGAAATAAGTTCATCCTTTTAAAATAAATGGAAAATGTGAGAAAAATACATTAGAGATTATTAATTGATACAAATCAGTTATTAGCTTCAAGTTGTTCACTAACATTTAAAATCCCTATTGATTTGCTCATTTGAAAAACAGTTCTTTTTTTCAGTGTGGAGGGGGTCCATTTAAAATGAGTTTTCCAGCCAAAATGTAATCATTGTATTCTTGATATCAAGGATTGTTAATGCAGTTCATTCCTATCAAGTGAAAGAAAATAATGTTTAGGTTAGTTTTTCTAGAAAATATAAAGTTTAAAACAGTCAGCAATTTATAACAGACATTTTTCTTAGAGTTAAAATGATTTAAAAAAGTTACTATGTAATCGTTTGTCTCTGCGTGCCCCACATATATGTAATAAATCAATTGATTGTATCCTCACATTTAGAAACACCTGACCTCGACTAATTTTTTTATGTTGGCATTGTTTTGCTAACCTTGACATTTTACAAATCAGAGTGTAAACCACACCTCTAACTCCTCCCTAATATAATGCATTATTGAAATTTGTTAGACTGTGGTTAGACGACAGATTAAGTGAATTTTATTTAGTTAATACACATTAACCAAAGTTAGACTAAGCAGAAATTTGAAAAATACTAAAATGTGATTGGACAAAAAATAATGTTGATCATTAAGAGGAATTTCTGGTCTATTTCTATGTACAATTAAAGTACATTTGTCCCTAATTTTATGTCTTTCTGAAAGGTGGTGTCTAAAATCAGATGATAAACAAATGCAAGAAAAAAAATACTTGTTAAGATTTAAGCATGCAATAAAACAGTTCTTCTATCAAGGACATTGGTGGGAGTGGAAATTGCATTCTGCAATTGAGTTTAAAGGGACTCCATTGAGTTTTTTTTAATTGACTCAAAATTATTTATAAAATTACAAATATTTCCATGAAATTGAGTAAAATATTATACAACATAAAACCCTCATTTATAAACTAAATAACTGAAACAAAATGGGCAATGAATTGCCCTACATAATATCTGATCCATTTTTACTGAGTGGAAGTTGTTCAAAAGTTGTTTGTCCATATATTTGGGTGAAAATTTATTAACTGGTACATTAGAAGAATAAAAAGTGCCAATCAGATGCATTTAAACAATTGTAAAATGATAAAAAAAATATGCTATACATCAAGTTAAAGCCATATTTGACAAATGATTTCACAGAAAATGAATTAGCAGATTGTACTGAAGGTTCTGGTGAGCTCTAGAGCTTAGATAGGCACTGGTTTCATGTAACTTACAGTCTTGTACATGTACTCAATTGACAATTGCCTTAAGGTGACAACAGACACTTTCCGTGGTACTCACATAAATGTCATTTAAACCAACTTATTTTAGTAATAGTTGTTATTTATTTAATCTTTGTGCATTAAATGTCGTTGATCAACATAAAAAATAACATATTTGAAAAAAATGACTTTGTAAATGATTGATTTTTAATAAAAATCCTAAAATTTTAAATCGTCATATCAAAGTCATTTTTTATTTTTTTGTCATCAAACTTTTGGAAAATAAACATACTTATAATATCTGGGGAACCGTGTCTCAATTTTTTTCTATCTTTTCTCAAAAAAATATTACGTAACGTCAAACATTTTATGCGACTTTTTTCACCATACATATTACGTAATTAAAGATAATTAAGTCGCTGATTGAGCAAACAAAAATCCCTGACACGGTTCCCTCCGTAAATAAATTCCCTTTCATGTGCTTTAAACCGCATGTTAATTGCTTGATTATTAAAAAAGTTATGCCGATTCAAAGTTAGTCCGACCCGCATCAAACGAAGTGTCATAAATCGGCTGTTCTCTCTCGGACCCCTACGTTTCACGCTAAATAATTACATTATACACAAATATCGCACCAGAGAGGGTCACAAGTTGCGCTAACATACTCAAACAACATTTTATGACCCAGTGACATCTGACCAATTAAAAAGTTGCTGATTAATATCAGTTTATAACAGAAATTTCTTCAAATCTTAACGTGGTTTACTGTCGGTCGCACATGTCACGTGACTTTCGGTAAAATTTGAGGCACTCGGTGGGGGGAAATGGAACGTATTTGCGCACCGCTAGCGGGGTATTTAATTGTTTCACTTTTGAAGATTATTATTATTATCATCAGCATTATTATTATATTATACCAGTGTCACTCTGTCTGTGTATTCGTGTATGAAATTCCGTTAAAATATAAATTAAAATAACAAAAAACTGAGCTTCTGATGGTCTTTTAAAGTCCATGGTAAATGTAAAAATAAAAACGAGATATTATATATTTCTTCCTCCAAATTGAAACAAATGCTTGACATATTATAATAGAAATAAAAGGTATCACTCGATCATTATGATCTGACCTTTATGACTTCTTTTATCATGAAAATCATCTATGCACGGCATAGATATCCAGTTTCTACTGGGATATACAATAAATTCCATACTTTGTCCCAGGTTTATTAGTTCTGTGTTCGATTTACTGGCGAACAATTTATTCAGAGCATTCACTGATAGTATATATTAATATCTTTTTTTATTGATTCATAGAGAAATGATCATCCATAAACAATCTAAAATGGTTTAGAAATTTGTTAGGGACACCTTACCACAAGTCATATAGGCGTTCACATAAAAAATGTTGTCTGTTTTTGTTGTTGTTTAACTTGACATTGTTAGAAAACGAGGTTGAATGTAAAGCAAGCCGATGAATCCGTACAAAAGTCCATAAACTCAATGTAATATCTATCAGATTAACGGGACAGACAAATTATTTTCACACATTATGGATATTTTAGCAACTATATTTTAAATCAACCCGTGG